TCCTTTGTCTTTCTTCATGTCTGTATGTTTTAGTAGTTGGATTTAGAAAATATGCATATAATTTGCATCCTTATTTTTTGAGAAATAAAATTACAATGCAAGCATTATCCCATTTGCTACATGATTTCTCATAAACATTACCTTTAGTGACTGCCTATGTCCATGAAATGGATGAACCATAATGAATTATCCCACTATTGTTGGATGATAAGGTTGTAGCTGGTTTTTTCCTTATCACTATTCCTTCCAGTACTGAGAGTCTCTCATTCTATGATTGGCAATGAGAAATGAAAACCATTTCTTAAATTATTTTCTCCATCTTTAATTCCTCTTAAGAGGGACCTCTTGAGACATCCTGATGTGTTACATTGAATTTCCTGTATTTTTCTGTGAATAGCACTTTCACTAAATGATTTTAAGAAATTTCTGTCTAGTGTCTATCTTGGACAATATTTTTTCAGATGTAACAAAAAAAAAAAAAGAAAAATGCAAAGTTGGTTTGAAGAATTTCCATTTGCCATTCACCTAGATTCCACAGGACAATGATCAAAATAAGGAAATTAACTATGATATAATCTTATCAAATCTACCAACCTGATTCAGCTTTCACTAATTGCTTCACAGTATTCTTTTTCTAGTCCAAGATCCAATAAGGATCCAGGATGCATTCACCGTAATATGTCCTTAGTCTCTAATCTAGACGAATTCCTCAAACTTTCTTTGGTTTCACAACCTTGAATCTTTTGAAAAATCACTGACCAGTGATTTTTATCATATAATCCTTAATTTAGGTTGTTTGTATTTCTTCATGGATTTTTTTGTACCACCATGGGGAGGCACATGATGATCTGTCCCATTACAGAGAATGTTAACTTTAATCATCTGGGGAAGGTGGTGTCTGTCAGGTTTCTCCACTGTAAAGTTGGTATTTTTCCTTACTATTTTGATACTATGTAAAAATCCTTTTTCTCGTACTTGCACTGACTAATTTTAACTTTCATTGATTGATAATTCTTCCCTGAACTAATTACTACCATGGTATTTTCCAGATGATGATTTTAAAAATAAGCTTTATTCTTTCTAGGGTTATTAGTTGCAATTTACCTTGGACAGGCATTATAGATTTCCTTAACCTATCTGGCTCTGATAATCCTTTTGTTAAAGCAAACGAAGAGGATATTTGCCTACCACCCATTCTGTGCTGTTCCTATTATCAGAGCACATGAAGATCAGTAAAGGTAGATCTACCTAGACAAAGGCATTCAGGTGACAGGGATCTTCAAGTATCTGCACTGATTCCTGATTTTCTGCCTCATTCTGCCTAAAGATCACAGGCATTGAAAATACCATGTGTATCATTATATTATCACTATAAGGTAATAAAGAAGTAGAAAATTCACCTCCATTCTATAGATGAGAGATATGAAAACCAGGGTGTTGATACAATGCCCTAGATCAGATAGTGGCACACCTGGGACTAGATCCCAGTGCCTGGAGGTTTTTAGTTCCTATCTGAGCTGTTCTAAAAATTACATTACTTCTGGATAACATGCTACATCTTCAAGAAAAGATACTGTTTTTAAGCAAAATCATTATTAAAAGGACTATCATTTCTTTGGTTAATGATTTATTTTTTTATCCATTCAAGTGATGTTTGTTTTTCTTCTGGCTAATTACGTTGTATACTTTAATCCATTATAATCCAATTGATTATTTGCAAACAGCAATAATAGTTACTCCAACAAAAGCTCTTGCAGCTATACATTGCAAAAATATGCTTATCTCAAGCTGATTTCTTGATGATGAACTTAAATTCTTGATGATTCTTAAATTCATTATCCAGAATGATTAAGAAGTTCTGATTAACTGAACATTGCTAAATATAGCAGGATCATCACCTACAAAGATTCCAAACAAAAAGATGAAGGAAAGTATTCTTTAAAATCTGGCAGTATATTACATTGTATGAACAGTGGCTCTCATTGCATAAGCCTCATTAAAAATCATCTTCTTGATGATTACCCTGTTTTCTTGTCATTTATATTTTTCCTAAAAATAGCAAGTAGGAGAAAAAAATTTTAGATTAGGTGGACTTGCTGGTGATTGGTACCTTGAATTTATAAAATTACTAATATATCTGTGGTTAGACTAGCTTCTTTTCCTTAGGGCGCCAGTAATTAGAATTACTGTAATGGGACAGTAAGCACCTGCATTCGTTCACACAGGCAGGACCCCCAGGGCAGACTCCCCTCTGGGGTGGTGGTGTTTTGTTTTATTTTTGAAGTCACCTGTGTCCCCGGTGCTTGCCCCCTTTCTTGGCACTGGCTACATATTGGTGATTGATCTACGACCCTGTGAGAGTCAAACTTTACACCCAGGGTGAGCCCAACTCCCTCCCCCTACCCATTTCAAAAAACAGTATATGCTCATTATAGAAACTTGTAAAACACACACACACACACACACACACACACAGCAAAAATAAAGCTGTCCCCATCTTGCCAGCCATAGAAATGATTTATGCTATAAAGATGAATATTTCCCCATTTATTATTTCTTTAAAAACAAAATTTTTAATTAATTTTTTTACATCATTGTTCATTTTTAAACAATATTTGCTTCCCCCCACCCCCTCAGGTGTAGTCCCCATAGAGTTTCCTTCAACAATGCACCTGTGCACCATCACCTCAGTCCCTTGTGCTCTTCCTTCCCTCTCTCTGATCCCTCTCCCTCCTCCTCCCCTGCAGGATGTCTCTGATTTGTAATTGTCTGTTTTTGCTTTGTTGTGTTTTGTACTGTTATTATTTTTTTTTACACTGATGTCTTATTTGGTTCACCTATATTCCTGCTATAAGTGAAGCCATCTGATATATCCATGTTGCTGTGAATGGCATGAGTTTATCTTTTTTGATTGCTGAATAATATTCCATTGTGTATATGTGCCACATCTTCTTAATCTAGTCATCAACTTTTGGGCATTTGGGTTGTTTCCAGGTTTTACCTACTGTGAATAGTGCTACAATAAACATAGGGGTACAGGTGCTCTTTTGAATCAATGTTTCTGTGTCCTTTGGGTAGATCCCTAGCAGTCGTATTGCCAGATCTCAGGGTAGATCCATTTTCAGTAGACTGAGGAACCTCCAGACAGCTTTCCATAGTGGCTGGACCAGTTTGCACTCCCACCAGCACTGCAGGAGAGTTCCTTTTTCACCACATCCTTGCCAATGTTTGTTGTTGCTTGTTTTTTTTTGATATGTGCCACTCTTACTGAGTAAGGTGGTATCTCAATGTGGTTTTAATTTGCATTTCCCTGATGATAAGGGATGTTGAACATTTTTTCATATGCCTGTTGGCCATGTGCATTTCCTCTTTGGAGAAATGTCTTTTAAGTTCTTCTGCCCATTTCTTGACTGGATTGTTTATTTTGTTAAAACCAAATTTTTAACTGCAATAGAAGGAACAATTTTGTAATGTGACACATTTTAACCATTTCCTTGTTGTAGGTCATATAAATTCTTTAAAGTTTGCCACCATAGGAGATAACATAATCCACAGTAAACTCCCTAGTAAAGTTGATTATCAAGTTACTTTCAAAAAAGTCTATACCCATTTAAGTCTACTTGCTATTGCCCCATATATTTTCATTTTTATTTTATATAATTTTACATGATTTTTCATTTTTGCACAATGTTTGTATTCTCATCTTGGTTATATCCCCATACAATTCCCACTCCCTTCATTTTGATCCTACTCCGTCCCCAACCCCGCCCACCCCCCACGCCATAGTGTGTCTCTGGTTCATAGTAGTTGCTTGTTGATTTTGATTTTTACTTTATTATAATTATATTTTTCCTGGTCCTTTATTTAGGTTTTCTAAATTCCTGCTATGAGTGAGACCATCCAGCATTTTCTTTTTCTTTCTGGCTTATTTCACTGAGCATGATCCCTTCCAGCTTCATCCATGTTGATGCAAATGGCATTAGTTTATCTTTTTAGATTGCTGAGTAATATTCCATTGTATATATATATATATATATATATGTATTACATCTTCTTGATCCAGTCATCTATTTTTGGACATTTGGGTTGTTTTTATAGCTTAGCTATTGTAAATAGTGCTGCTATAAATATGGGGGTGCAGGTGCCCTTTTGAATTAATGTTTCTGTGCCCCATATATTTTAAATACTGACAGTTGAGAAACAAGGATTTCAAAACTCCTTTCCTTTTAAGCAGGTCCCGGTGTAGTGAGAGTGAACTAACCATTTCCTCTGGACTTAACTTTGTGTCCCTGTGAAGGAGAGGGTAAATCACAGGGGAGTGAACAATCTGGAAAACATGGCTGGAAACCTCACCCTAAATTGAGGAGAGGGCATTCACCTTTAAACAAAAAAACTTTTGAGGTAAAGCAAAGAAGTAATGATACCCCAAATTAAGTATTAAAAAAAGACAAAAGGACTAATATTGTTACGCTGATCATTGTCACTTTATTTATGGCTTCAAGTTAAAAAACATTTTCTCTTTAAAAAGAGAAAATCAGGCCTCCCTGGTGGCACAGGGACAGAGCTATCAAGCTATGGCCAGCCCCTGCAACATGAGTCGGATCCCTGGCCCTGGTGCAGCAGACCTCTCCTGTCTCACCCACTGCTCCCCTCAGCAGTGCATTTCAGTAGATCCATCTGTTCTGCTCCCCACTCTGTCTCAGGTGAATCCTCTCACTGCCCACACTACTGGCTGACAGCCCACTTCTTGTATGCATAAATAAATAAATCTTTTAAATAAATAAATAAATAAATAAAATAAATAAAAGAGAAATCATTCTAGTTAAAAAGAGAAACTATTTTGGAGAAGACTCAGTCAAAAGGAGAAAGTTCTTAAAAATTAACATTCATTTCTTCTCTGAAGTGTATGTATATACACTTATATATATATATATATATATGTTTCATTCTGAAACAAAAGTTTTATTTTCATAAATAATGAAAGTCCAAACTTAAAAAAATTATTTACCCTTATAAAGAAAATGCTACTCTTGCTTGCCTTTTTCTGCTGCTGTGTCTTCCACCTCAGGTACTGGTAGACCAGGTGTCAGATAGGAAACTTGGCTCCACACCCAGTACAGGTAACCTTCAGTTCCTAGAATTAGCAGGCACAGTGTCTTCAAGGTACCATTTAAAAAGACTATGAGCAATCATGAGCATCAAATGTATCATTACCATTGCAACACAATAGATTATTTTAAACTTAACCCTTAACAGAACAATTAATTTCCAGGCCTTCAGTCAAGCAAGACTGCAGCTACTTGGAACTCTGGAAAGCTCCAGGAAGAGAGACCTGGGCTCTGAGCCAGTAATTTACTGGGAAACCACTATTTTAGAAAGAGGGATTTTTGGAATACAGTGAGAACAAGATAGAAATCAATCTTTATGTGGGACAATTTTGTTGAGAAGCCTGAGTAATTGACCCTTGTTTCATTGATTGTCATGAATCCAATTCCAGCTTATTTTCCAATCACAAACCCATTTATTACATTTTACAGTTTGATGGCTCATGAATGAACATTGTAAGCACCATTAATCAAAAAGAGGAGATTTTAAGGAGAATTGTGAAAATGTACTTTTACTAACATGAGGGTAGCTGGGAAGACAGGATTGATTTTCCAATTCTTTGTACATTTTTAAAAAAATAACCTCATGGTTAACCCTGCAATTCTTACTGTATGATTGATTGAGAGAGACCTAGGCAAGTGGACCACCATTGTTTCTTCCAAGTCAATGATACCAAAGCAAGTTTATCAGTGGACCAAGAATGAGTCATATATCTAGGGTCCTGATGTTTCTGGGTGCTGGGAAGTATAGGAACCATTGCAGTCTTTTTGTTACCGGAGACAAGGAACCTAAAGATATGCCAACAAACAGGAGAGGCACATGCAAGGGAGTGACAAAGAAACAGAGCAGGAGCTCCTGGGTTAACATGACTGAAGTTTGCCCACTCTGAACTTCTGTTACAAGAACACAAGAATGTTTTTGGTATTAAAGAAGAGTTTCTGTATCTTGGAACCAAAAATATTTATTTTACAGATGAGTAGAGGTATCTTATATGTAAGCAATGCATGGCTCATCGTTAGAGGCTGTGTCTTCCTTCTGATGCAATATTATAAATGGTAGTCAGTTGCACATACTAACTTAGAATGTGCGTTACACGATACACTTGCAGACAGCAATACTAGGAAACAGAACTATTCAAGTATATAATAGTTTATAATGGGAGGGAGAAGAGAAGTATTTTCACAGTTATCACATTTTTCTATGAGAAAATCTGCTCTAAGTTTCAAACAGACACCTTTAAAATAAGTGATGAGAGATCCTCTGGGTCTCAGGTTTCTCATAAGGTGTAATATTAGATGAAGTTTAAGGAATCTTTTAGCTTTAACGTTCTATGATTCTTTGTTACTGGTTCATTTAAAGTGAGTAAAAGAGAATCCCTATAATCGCACAGTCTTCTTGAATAATATGGATGGCATTTGAAGATTGTTCATTTCTTGTCCAGCAAGCTGTATCTTGTTTGTTTTCATAGCAGTTGATGACTTACCATCATTATTATAACCATTTTTAAAATTCTAGAATAGCTCTCTCATCTTGCCTCTAAATATTTATACACAGAATACCTTATTTCCTATAGCAAACTCACTTTTTGATTTGTCAGTTTTATGGAAACCTGAGATCTTAACAGGCTCATATTTCTAAGCAAAAGCAAATAGTTATTTCCTCCTTCTCCACCCCGGATGAGTGAAAACAGGGATTTTTTTTTTTCTTAGAGTAGAGGTGTTTGGCATCTTGATGTTTTCAACACAAAAATGCAATGGTTTATAATACTATTGGTTCAGCACTTAAGTTAGAGATTAAAAAACAAGTGACCAACTAAACACAGAGAGCAGCCTGAAATAAAAATATTCATATTTCAAGTCATGGTTAAGCAAAACCTACCTTGCCTGAAAGTGTGGTAGGTGATCGCCTACCTGGTAGGAGTTAAATATTACTTAGAGACTCTGTCTCCTAATCTTGCTCACTAGATTACCAAGAGACTGAAATTCCACCAATCACTCCTTTAAGAAACTGTACTATACAAAATCTCCACTGAAACAACAATGTATCACCCTGATGGGCTGGTCATCATCCCATTAACTCTCAGTAGCACACTGGCTTAGATCAACCTGGTTGTTAGCTATTGGGGGGAAAAGGGGATGGATTGTGGGCAGGGAAAAAGGGAGGGAGTTAGCTCCTGAGAGCTCCTGGTGGTCACCTAGCACAGGGTATGAGAACAGGGACCAGAGGCAGTTTGACTTATCTTACACAATTACTTGGATCTTCCCATATATGTTGATTCAAAAGAAGTCAATAGATCTCATTCTTCTGGAGTGTTAGAGGGTGCGCATTGGAATCTTCCATATCATTCCTATTCTCTGTTCTGTTGTGGCTCATTGTATGGCCCTCTACAAAGAAGTGTCCAGAAGACACCTTTGCTGTGGCCTGGGAGTTGCTCTGACAGCAGAAATTCAACTGGAGGCAGCTTCTCTCCCCTGAATTTACTAAGCATTATGTCCCAGATGATGCCTTGAAGAGGCATCACTGAAGGTAAGCCCCTGAGTTGGTGCAAGGGGGAAGGAAGTGAGAGACAATAATTTTTGGTTTCTTCCTTATCTTCAGTTCACAGCTCCTATAAGTACAAAAGAAGTGAAGAAAATGAAAGAAAATAGGTTACAGGCATTTACACTATGTGTTGTGGAAAGAAGTAAATTAAGCTGATGTCAGTCTGGGTCTGTGCTATGGATCTATATGGGGTGCATCTTAATAGGTAGGCTATTCATAGTGACAGCTTTCTAAAAAAGGTTTTTTAGGGTTGGAACTTTACCTATGGTAATCATGTAAGGTGCTCCACCTTTTATAGTGTTGTGGGAAAGCATGTTAATTAATTTCCGTAGCATGTTTTGTCCTGCTCCTGTGTATTTGGGGTGGGAAGACTCTTGGTGTGGATGATGGCTGTTTTCTTCAGCTAGGTCACCAGTTCGCATATTAGGCACTTCCCCTGAATGAAGAGAAGCCTGGATTATCCCAAACAACACAATGGAAAACATAAATGATAGTATTCTTGAGTTCAGCAAAAAAGAAAGGAACTTAATTTAAATGAATCCCTCAGAAGTGACATTTATTTTTCTCGTACTCTTTCCCCTTTTTTTGGTATGCTCTTATCCTATTATATTTTTAATAGGTGCAGTCATAAATCTGTTTCTTTATGTTACACCTAATGGTTAGTCTCTTGAGACGGAAATCTGTTCCTTAAAATTAGGATGACAACCAGAGATGTGTGCACTCAGCCGTGAAAATGGAAGTGACACCCACGCTTCTTATTCATGGTGCTGGGGATGCCACTGACGTTTAAAAAATTCTCGCTGATTTGTACTACTGGCCTTTAATTCTTCTTTTGAATTGCTCTAATTGGCTTAATAAATTATTGACTAATATAGACAATGTAATATTTCATCTTATTTGCCAAGAATAGTTAGTTCTTTTAATCATCAGCAAAATTACATTTTTTACTTCAATGTATTTTATCATATTTGTAATTTCATTTTAATACATATATTTTACATTATTGTTCATTTGGTATAATGTATGCTTGTATGCTTTCTCCTCTCAGGTGTACTTCCTGTAAACTTCCCACCACCAATTCACCCATGAACAATCACCATAGTCCCTTGTGGATAATATAATATTTTACTGTGGCTGAATTAGGAGAAAAAATGTGGAGAGGGGGTGCTCCGAAGTTGGTGGTAGTAGAGTGTAGTAAAATATAAAGTCTATAAAAACTGAGAAAAAGTCTTGCAAGTAAAGGAATGATTCCCACTGCATTAACAGTCTCAGAGCAACTCCTTTGTAGGTCCAAGCCTACAATGCCTGGGATTAGAAAGTGCCACGGGCTACAATTGGGATTAGTTTTGTATTAGGATTTTGGGATAAGAAATTGATTTATACTATCATTTGATAATCAACTCTATTTAATGTAAACTCCTCCTTAAAGCTGATATTCAAACTTTCCGTTTGAAGATTCTATTTAGGAGGATGTAGAAGAAAAAGTTGCATTTAAAAATATCATGTAGAGGGCCTCCCTGGTGGTGCAAGGGGTTAAGTCTCAGCACTATGAAGCTATCCATAACCACTGCATCATGAATTCATCCTCAGCCAGGGAGCTACCCACATGGCACTGCAGACCTCTCCTGTATAACCCGCTGCTCCCCTCAGCAGTGTATTTCAGTCAATCTGCCTGTTCTGCTCCCCACTCTGTCTCTGGTGACTCCTCTTACCCCCCACACCTCTGGCCTGTACCCCAGCTCTTGTGTGCCTAAACAAATAAATCTTTAACAACAACAACAAAAACTATTGGCACATTTGTCATTGTGAAAACAGAATATTGGAATGTGCTGTAACAGAAAGGGTGTTTATGACTTAAATAATCCCCAATAAGGAATGCATGACATTCTATCTCTTCTTTATGCCTTTGATCATCTTCTTTACTTTTTTAAGCCCTTGGTACCTCCACTTTCCTCATCTCCTTTGCCTGAAGAAGCAGCCTGTAATAGAAATTTGTGTTATTATTTATCAAACAGTTCAAGTAGTCTGCATTTGAGCCAGGCACTCTTTAAACAGGTTATAAACATTAAGTCACCTAGTCTTCATAACAATTCTTTGAGGTAGTTACTATCTACCAGCTCCTCTCCCCCTTTTTAACAGATGAGAATAGAAGGATATTAACAATCGTGTAGGACACACAGCCAGCGAACAGGCTGTAGAGCTGGCATTTGAACCTGAACCTCCAGGTTGTTAATCTCAAATATACACTTACTAAATTTAGCCACCTGCTGAGGTTATAGACAGATTTGTTGCTGATGCATCAGTTCCATCACTGGGTAGGATCTTACCTATTCACAAAGACTTCTTCACTTCTACCCAGAGAACACTTAGCTCTCTAGAGAAAGATACCTTTGAAATGCAAAGGTTGTCAGCTTTATTTGTGGATCCACACTGTGGTTTTGGTTAGTATCTGCGGGCATCTGCTAAGTGGTTCAATCTTTTAAAATGGTATAATATTCACATTGTTTTTGTTGGATAATTGCATGCCTTTAATTTGTGGTATTCTAAACAGAGCAGTAATCTGGTTCAGGAGTAGCCAAAAAAAGTTATTTGATATCCATTAAGTCAAGTTTCTATTTTTATTCAGTTCTGTAGAGGTGAATATTATTATGGTCAGGAAAAAGCGACATCATAATACACTGTAATGGATATCGCCTGACAGGATAGTTTTTTAAAAAAGGTAGGCAGCAATTCTATTTCTCTCTTTAATAGGTGAATACAGTTTCCCCCTTAGAATTATAACATTTTAGTTCATGAATCTACAAAAAAAAAATCACAACTTTTTAAATTCATGAACTGGAACAATTATTTTTTAAAAAGAGATATGTAAACCTCTGCTACTTAAAATGTTTACCTTATGCAGACAAATAAAAAATGAAATCACGTAAAATAATTACTTATTTGGTAAATACAAAGTCCCTACATAGTAACCATATTGGAAGTAAGGGTTTTCATCTTTGCTGATTGCTATTCATCCGTGTTCTGTGATTTAGTTGACTTGTCTTATATTTAAAGGCAAAGATTTTTTTGATAGTATCTTCCATGCAAGGACAATTCAGTGATTTGCAAACATGAGCCTAAATTAACTCTTCAGTCTTTGGAGATGAATCATTCCTTTTGTTTAGCCCACTGGTGTAGTATTTAGATTAACTTGTAGGTTAGTATTTAACCTGACAGAATTCAAAAAGCCAGATCAGACATATGATAACGGTCTTCCGGGACCCTGACAGAGTTACATGCAGGGAGGAGGACCCAAGTCATTAGTTTGTGATTAATGTTTGTAGAAAGTAATATTTCTACTATTTTATGAATGGAACGGCAGAGGCACTGAGGGGTTAAGTGGCTTCCCTAGATCACAAGGCTGTTTTAGTAGATCCAGGAAAATCAGGCACTCACGCAAGTTGACTAATTTGGCATTCAGTTCTCACCAACTTTAAATTTTGTAAGTTACAGTTCCTATAGCTGCCAATAGACAGCTTATAGACTGAAGACAGAACGAAAATGAGAAGTTGTGATAATCACTTTCTAGGGGAAGGTTTGTTTGAGCTAACAGGGCTGACATAGGGGCTAATGTTCCACATGGATCCCAGTCATCTCGGACCCACTAGTGCTCTGCTGGTCCCCCACAGCTTTTGTCCATGAGGATTCAATCAGACTCTGACCACTGGCCGGGGTGGGGGGCAGGAGGACTGTAAATCTGGGGAAGCTGCAAGTATTCGGGGTCTTGAACTTTATCAGGTTTGAATGTGTGATTGTGAAAGTAAAGAACAGAGAAACGACAGCACTCAGTAAATCAAACATAGAGAAGATCAGGACTGTCAGAGGCAAGAGAAAAACAGGCTCTGGGCACAAACCCCACTGCAAACCTGCAGGGAGGGAAAGACTTTCATGTTCCCTGCAGACTTCGCCTTCTGAAAAACAAATCTCTTTCCCTGTCATTTTCTCTAGAGAACAGTATTCTTTGTTATGGCTCACGGATTTCTTAAAGATTTCACTATTGACATTTAGATCTTGTTTTAGAAGATGGGGTGCTATAAGACAAAACCAGAAAGAAAATCAGTTGAAAATGTCTGGAATGGCCTAGATTTTCCTCTACCAATGACATGCTCCATAGCTTCTCAGAGGTCTTTATTTTCTTAGTCTTAAATAAAATGTGATTAATGTAAAAGGTCTCCTGCATATATATAGCAATATCAAATTGGAAGATTAAAAGCATAAGAAAAGTATAGTCAGAGGACCAAGTCAACTCAATTAGTTCTTTTTTTTCCCCTCCTTATATCTAACGCCAGTTCTCAAAGTTGCACATCTGTGAATTCACTCCTCTCTGCTTTCCAGGGAGGGGTTCTGCTGAGGACTAGGATTCTTTGCTTTGAGCAGAAGATGAGCTTCAAAATCCAACGTCTTTGTCCTAGAGAAGACGTTGGAGTCTACTGCTGGCATTTGCGAGTGGAACAACGAGGAGCGTTTCCTTTTCAAAGGAACCAAAAGAAAGTAAAGTAGCCTCCTCCCCTTTCCTACCATAATGCAATAAATAAAGTGCTCACTGCTGGTATGTGGAAAAAGCCTGAGCCCTCTAGTGAATGATGGGTCTCAAAGTTGAGTAAGTGTTCAAAGAAGTTCTTTCCCAGAAATCAGTTTAGCTCTGAGAGACAACTGAATTAAATAAGAAATTGAAATTTGATGTGAGTCTACTTACAATTATATAGATAATGGTAATAACAGTTCACACTTACATATTGGTTATTATGTTCCAGATACTATTATCACTTTACATAGAAGAAATCTCTTAGGGCCTCCCTGGTAGTGCAAGGGGTTAAGATGCAACCTATGAAGCTATCTGCAGCCACTGCAACACGGGTTCGATTTCCAGCCAGCCAGGGAGCTACCCACATGGTGCAGCAGACCTCTCCTGACTCACCCATTGCTCCCCTCAGCAGTGTATTTCAGTCAGTCTGCCTGTTCTGCTCCCCACTCTGTCTCTGGTGAATCCTCTCACCCCCCACACCTCTAGCCTGTACCCCAGTTCTTGTATGCATAAATAAATAAATCTTTAAAAGAAAAAGAAATCCCTTAATCCTTTCAACAATCCTGTAAGGATGGTACTTTTATCATTCCCATTTTACAAATGAAGAAACAGACACACAGAGGCTAGGCAACTGGTTATGGTCACATAGCTAGTAAGCAGTGGGATAAGAATTCAAGCCCGACAGGCTGGCCTCAAGTCCAAGCTCCTAGAAATTTAGTGTGTGAGCTAGACTGACTCCTATATACAAACTGACTTTGAAGACTAGACGACAACCTGAGCCTGGATACTTTTCTAGAGAAAGGGGGAGGGGGGAAGGATCTGACATCTCCCTGTATCTTAGAAGTTGTTGGTGGTGCTTTGCCTAACCGGCTGGACAGAAGTGCAAACCTTCTAGACTGTAAACACTTCAGAGCTGGGAGCTAACTCTTCTAGTTCTTCTTTGTGCAGTGCATACTCAGTAATGTTGGGCAAGTGCAGGAGAGTGGAGACTGCACATAGGTAGACAACCCTTTGGTCCTAATTCTCTGCATATTTGCAACATAGCTGAATGGAGAGGTCATATTTCTGGGTGACAAATGCAGAAATTTTCAATTTCTTGGGCACTTCCCCCACGAGTCAAAGAAGAGTGTTCCTTAGCAAATCTCCAAAATTCTGCCACCTCCTTTTTCTGCTTCCCCTTAGCAACAACCCCCACCCCCAACATTGCCCTGACGTGGGGGGAGCAGTCAGAAAGGTCTCTTAGCTGAGGCAGCTCTGGAGCAGTAGCATCTGGACCCTGACCCTAAAATTGCATTGCCTGCACAACTAATAATACCTGCAAAATCCAGGGTAAGCCTGGGTTCTGCCTGTCTGGAGGGTTGGACACTTCATCTTTTCATCTTCTTGGGAGGGAGCAGCAAAGTTCCCTTTCTCTCTTCTAGAAATTCAGACTCACACTGATTTTTTCCATTCCCAGGGGCTGGGTGAGGGGGGAAGAATTAGATATGGTGGATGACTTGGGCATTCACCTATTTGGAGGGGGGCCATAAAAAAAAAAAGGGAACCAGCATAATGTGACAGACAGAAACTGGAGAAACACCGCCTTTTGGAATTCAGAATCCTGTTTCTAACAGCCATCAGAGAACAGATGGGAAAGGCAGAAGCCGCACTGCAGAGAAGCCAAGGAGTCTCATCAGCCTCCCCCAGCTTCCTACCATATTTCAAAGTAGTAGAAAGGCTTGTTGAAGGTCTAAAGTCTGGGGGATGCTCTACCTACTAAAGGTGGGGGTGGGAGGGGGGATGGGGTGGAGGGGAGGGGAAAAAGGACTCATGGGGGAAACACGAAATCATGGTATCTGATCTCTCAAGCCCACTTTCCTGGATCTGGAAACTGGATATTCCCTGCTTCCCCTTTGCTGAAAGGGAAGGGATCACCCCAGGGGCAGAGCCTCCACCCAGCTGGCAACCCTCGGCCTTATGTATTGATGCCAGCAGTAATTAATAATGATAATAAATACCACACTTCATAACCAAACCCAACCTGCGGATGACTGAACGATTGGACCTCCGCCTCCCACCTGCACACTGTTAGTCTGCGAGTCCACACCCTCCCCTTTAGCCTCAGACTAACCCAACTGCCCGGTTCCTCCCATGGCGCTCTGACCCGGGTTCAAAAGAAGGTCTGCTTACCGCCACCAGGGACGTGGGTAACACTGCCCCTCAGCAGAACGGCAGTGAGTGAGCGGGGCGGCAAGGTAGGGTGTTACTTTTGTCTTATCAGCATCACAGAATAATCAAAATGGGCTAGCAATTCAGACCTCACTGAACTCGGTTGGGTTTTTCTGCCAAGTGCAGGGGTGGGGCTCTGTCTTGGGACCCCAGCCCGGGTCTCGAGCTCCACAGCTGCTCAGACCCCAGGGTCTGGCACCCTTAGGTCCGGCAACCTGTGGGACCGCCACATTCCGGGTGCAGCAGACACAGGTCCCGACATCTGGGCGGCTGACGTGGAGACCTCAGGGTGTCGGGCGCTACCAGGCCGTGGGGAGGGCGGCCGGCGCCGGAGTGGAATGTCTTTATCGGGATCCGAGAGCCACAAGCTTGTCCTCCGCTTCTTGAAGCGATCACGGGAAGACACCTTTCGATCTTTTGTCAGACATCTTGGGCCTTAATAGCTAAATTTATTTGGTTTAAAGCGGCCTTGGGAGACACAGAGGGGAAATCTTTCGTCGGTTATTGGGTGGCCCAGATAACGAGCTTTAAAAAAGGGAGAGGGAGAAGAAAGTAAAAAGGTTAATGGATGAGGGGAGGCTGGAAGGCGCCCAGCGTGGGCCTTTTACAGCGACCCTCCCCCGGCCGCCCCTCGGAGCGGCCCTGACTTACCCGCGGCGCAGAAGTGCATTAAGTCGCGTAAACAGGGCGCGGAGAGCCATGGCACCGCGGTGACCTTTCGTGCGCCGCCGCAGCGAGCCCACCTCCGCGCCACGCTGGCGGCCGCCGGCGGCGCGGGGGTCGGCCGGGGGCTGCGGGGCTCGGAGCCGCCTGCCCGGGCCCTGGCGCGGCCCCGCGTGGCTCTCACCGGCAGGGGCCGGCGGCGGGAGGGCAGGGCGGGGAGCCGGGGCAGGGGGTTGGGGCGAACCCTGGGCTGCGCGGCGTTCGCGCTTCCGCCGCGGCCACCTGACATTTCTTAGGATTTAAAATCCCCCGTTCCGCTCCGTGCCGGGCTCTCTGCAGCTGAAAACGGGGGACTGCGAGGTGACCCCGTGTCTTTGGCGAAGGAGTTCCCGGGGACAGGAGGAAATGTGGCATAAGCGAGAAGGCCCCATCAATTTGGTTCTTTCTTTCTTTCTTTTTTTTTTTTTTTTAATAGCTCAAGTTAAAACTGTGCTGTAAGTCGGAAATTGTATTCTTTCTGAAACGCCGCAAAGAAGCCAGGAGCTTTGCGAAATGAAAATACAGTGGAATTACGTTTGTGGGGGTCAAGGCGTGTGGGGACGCGGGTCCTCGCTGGGGTCTCGCCGCTGGGGCCAAAGCGCACGCTGGGTGCCCAGACACGCGTTCCTGTTTGGCAGCGAAGCCCCCGCCCCCTGCCCAATGGGCTGCGGTGTTCTGGCTGGATTCGAATCGCTAATGGTGGTGTGCGCGGCCCGAATAAATCAGCCCTGGGACAGGCCGCGCCCTGGAGCCAGCCCCTCTGAGAGTGAGAAGGGCTGCTTGGGGAGGGACGGCTCGCTCTGGAGGGACCGTTCTTGGGCTCTAAATAGTCCGGAGAGAAAAGATTTCGTTTCCGATTAGCAAGCCTCAAAGAAGAGGCTGCGGAAGGGAAAGGAAAACAGAATAGAAAGAAACCACGAAGAAAAAGAGCAATTTCTCAGAGGCTGCCTGTCTTCGTGGGGACCTCTAAGGGGATCTTCTCCTGCACTTGGGACCCTCCCTAGTTTGGGGTACACGGCTTCCCTCCGCACTCCCATTCTGCCTGTTTCCCGGAACCTGCTGGGGCCCTCAGAGGAAGCTCTGAGAACCCGGCCTACAGGCCCTGGGGGTGACTTTGAAAATGTGTCGCTTCCCGGGGTGTTGCCCCCAGGGCTGAATCAGCTGCCTGGGGAAACTGCAGTCTGGAAGGGTCAAGCAACCTGGCTTTCTGTCTAAACCAACTCTATGCGTTAAACAGTTTTGTTCTGTTTTCAAGTTAACTGACAAAAACATTTCTTCCTTTGGTTGAAAAACCAGTCTAAAAACAATTTGTGACCCCGCAAATAAGCAAACAATTATTTCCCACTCTCTTTTAGGCAATGTGAAAAGGAGACTGGGAATCTGGAAAGTAAAACGCTGAGTCCATTCTCAGTTCTTAGAACCCTTAAGTTGTAGAGCCCTCCGCGTCAGCAGTTCCACTATGTTCCAGCATTGCCGGGCCAGAACACCCTCTTAACGCTGCTGGGTTGCTACAGGAAAGGCAGGACCCTGGGGGTTAGCTATTGTCCTGGGAAATTCACACGGACACCCGGGTACTTGCAAAAATAAAGAAACGTACACAACAGGAATCAGGTTTGCGCAGGGGGTAGGGGCTGGGTCTCCAGGGGGGTATCAACCCTGGAGGCCATTCCCAGCCTGGGCTCTAACTTAGCCAAAGGATTTGTTAACTAGTCTTCATTAGAAATCATGTTACTGAAATATGAAATTAAAAACATTGCTTTTAAGAGCAAACCAGAGGAACATTTCAAAACAGTGGGGCTCTAAGGAAATCAAATGTCCACAACATTGTGTAACTGCTTACAAATGAGCTTCTGAAAAACTTAGTCTACTTAATAATTTGGTAGGAACACAAGTAAAAACCAAAACAAAAGCACTCTAAGCCTAGGTTAGAGTTAAGTGTGCGGTGGACACCAGACTGTCTCTTCTGGTAGTCGTGTTCGATCGAACTCGGGTTAAATTTTAAAGCCCCTGGATCCTGCCCCAGTGGCCAGCCGCAGATCCAGAGTTTTCTACCTCAGTCTTTCCGAAAAGCAGCTACACTAAAATTGAGACCATTGCAGTGATTGTGGGAGGCAAAGAGGAATGTAATAAAAGTGACTAAATTGGATGAGAACGGTTTATGGACCATCTCAGTAGCAATTTAAAATTCAGAAGCGTTTAGCAGCAATTTACAACGAAGAATGAAAAAAAAAAAAAGAATTATCACCAGCTTCCTTGATTCCACGCCCTCCTCCCCCGCGTCGCCAGACCCTGTTCTCTTCTGTGTGTCTGTGAACCTACGATATACAGGTTCACAACTCACTTTATAGAGAGAGGAAACATTTAGCGACGAGGTCTGAAATCTCTGGAAACCAAGCTTTACCCTGCCCCTGCCTACCCCGGTTCAGCGCTACCTAGGCTTCCCTCCCTTTCACAACTGGAAAAACACAAAAACAGAATCCAGCCGCTTTCAGGGAGACTGACCTTTAGAAAATCATTTACTTCGATTTACCTGGAAAAAGTGTAAAAATCCATTCCCATAAAACAACTCCTCCTGCCCTAGTTAAAATTCTCTCTCCGCAGCCTTCTGGGGTCAGGTCTGTCGGAAGAAATCCTTTTTGTGAGCGAAAGGGAGCGAGGCAGACATCCCCGCTCTGCCGCGGACGAACTTGCGGGCGCTCAGCTCGCTGCTGACAGATCCGCGCTGATAACCCCGCGACGTTCATTTCCAGCCCTTTTGCTGGCTAAGGACCGTATCAGTTTGTACACAGTTGTGATAACTGTTTGGAGGGATCGACGTAGGGGTGTGTGTGTGACAGAGAGAGAGAGAGAGAGAGAGAGAGGGAGAGAGAGAGAGAGAGAGGTGGGTTGAGGTCGCCCTGGGTTGAGGGAAGGTGTCCCCCACCCCCTTTTCCAAACGACTAATCTGAGACTTACCTGAAATTCTTCAGGGAAAGCTCAGAGCAAACGGGACACGAAAGCTCGGAGTGCGTCTTTGGGCGCAACGGGAGTGGAAGCATTTTTCCCATACTGCGCACCTCAGGATTCATCTTTAGGTGCGCCACCACCCCGAATTAAAAGCTCTCAAAGGTTAGCTGGGGAGTGCCATGTGAATTCCCCCAAATTCCCAGGAATTTAGTATATTTCTAAAACGCAGGGCAGAGAGAGAGAGAGAGAGAGAGAGAGAGAGAGAGAGAGAGAGAAGCGAGAGCGAGGAGCTGGGCATCGGCGTCCCTTCTCTGCCCCACCAAGGGCGCCTCGACTCCCGACGGCCACCACGACCTGAGCTCCTGGGTCTCGAGAAGAGGTCGGGAAAGTTTAAGGTCGGTTACACACATCTGCGGAGCAGAAAGCTCCTTTAACGTGGAGGGAGGCGCGGAGCAGGCCAGCAGAGCAAAGCACTTCCCCCCCTTATTGCGGGGGCGCGCTGACCCGGGAGTCGGGGCGTCCCTGCCGCGGCGGTGGCTACGCGGGGCTGCGCGCGGCCAGCTCGACCCGCGCCTCCTTCCACCCCCGCCCCCCTGAATGCGCGTGTAACTGGGGGCGGAGGAAGGCGCTCCTCCGCGGATGGGTGTGGGTCGCCGGCCAGGTCAGGCGTTCCGCCACCTCCGCCCCTCCCCCGGCGTCCCTGGGCCCGGCGCCCCGAGGATGGACTCTCCCCCCCCCAGCTCCCGGGACGGCGCTCGCGCTCAGCCCACACCCTCGGGCTGCCGGGCGCGCATTGTCTGCCCCGCGGCGCGCTCCCCTCCCCCACCCGCCCGCCGATCCCTCCCCACCCTCTCTCTCCCCTCCCCTCGCTCCCTCCCCTCCCGCCTCTTCACCTCCAGCGCCCAGCTGCTCGCGGAGCGTAGTTCCGACCCACAGCCTGGCACCCTTCGGCGAGCGCTGTTTGTTTAGGGCTCGGTGAGTCCAATCAGGAGCGCAGGCTGCAGTTTTCCGGCGGAGCAGTAAGAGGCGCCTCCTCTCTCCTTTTTATTCACCAGCAGCGCCGCGCAGACCCCGGACTCGCGCTCGCCCGCCGGCGCCTTCGGCCTCTCCGCGCTCGGGAGCACCCGCCGCCGCCGCGGTTCTCCATGCGCTGCGCCCACCCGAGGTTCGGCTGTTTCCTGCCTTGCTCGTGCCCCCCCTTTCTCTCCTCCAGCCCCCCCCCCAAACCCGCAGGCCCCTCGGCCTCGTCTCTCCGGCCCTCTGAGGGCCGCGGTCGGTCCCGAGGTGTCTCCCTTCTCCCCTTCGGCGGGCTGTGGCAGCAGCCAGGTTCCCGGGGCACCGCGAACCAACTTCTGGTATCTTTTGCTCTCCCCGAAGCGCTTATCTGCGCTCAGCCTTATCTCCGAGTTATCTCGGCGCAAAGGGGCGGGAGCCGGCAGTCAGGCGGGCAGAGAGACTTATTTCTTGCTATCTAGCCTGGGTCTGTGTGTGGGCATTCATTTTAGTGTGGTTATCTCCTGCGAGCGAGCCCAGGCGATTTGGAAAGGCAACCTGGGGGAGGCCAGCCCGGCTGCGTTTCCCCCCCTTCCCCACCCCCTCCGAGTCTCCCTGTCATTTCTTCCCTCTCCCCCTTTTGGGGTGGCCTTGGCTCCCGGGCCGTCTCCCCCCGCCCCCGTTGTCTTTACCCCTCCTTTTCTCTGCGCTCCGCTCCACCCCGCTACGTCCGATTCCGGAACGATCTGGCCTCTCCGCGCTGCGGCTGACCGCGGGGTGGGCCGGTGGCGGGGCCGGCGCGAGGGCACGCGCTGGTGGCCGCAGACGCGAGCCGCGTCCAAGGTGTGCCTCGGCGCCGGGGCCCGGGTGGGCGTGAGGGTCCCACCCCTGGGCGCCCCGCGCTGCCTCAGGCCGTAAGGTCGGAGACTGCGCTCGCCGCCCTGGCGCCCCACCTTCCCGGGCTGCGTTGCGTTTCTCTGTGGGGCTCGCGTTCCGTCTGGTCGGCGCAGCCCGGGAAGCCCTGGGAGGCGCGTATGGAAGAACTTGGCGGTTTCGTTTTCGGGGACAGGTTGGCTTCCTTGCGCTTCTGATTTTCCTCGGGGCCACCCTCACGCCGAGGCACTGCGGGCGAAAGGCACCCGCGGGGAGGTGGGATGAGGCAGCGCTGACGCGCCCTGTTAACTTAAAAAGTTCTTTTGTGTGTCATCTGCCGGGGAGGGGAGTCACTTTGGGGCGGAAGGAAAACCTCGGCCAGCCTCGCCGTCGCCCCTGGGGTCCAGCGCGCGCGGAGCAGGGATGCTGCGCAGGGGGTGGGCGGGGAGGGCGAGAGACGGCGGGGCTCGCGGTCTTTGGCGGACCCTCCGGTCGCCGTGTAGACTCCATTCCGCTCCGGTTCCCCGGCCCCCGCGCCCGCGCCAAAACCCGGGACCTCGGAGGAGTCTTATTAGCTAGCAAAGAGCGTGCAAGTGCGACGTCGTGCAGCCTGTGCTTTGGTAACACCTTTTTGTTTGTCCTTCTGTCCCTGTCCCCCCCCACCCCCACCCCACCCCCGCCCTCACCCTACCGCAGGAGCTAGAAGTCATCTTGGAGCGGCGCGCGGTCGTGGATGGCCTTGACTGACGGCGGCTGGTGCCTGCCGAAGCGCTTTGGGGCGACGGCTGTGGACGCCGGCGACTCCCGAGCCTTTCCAGCGCGGGAGCCTTCCACGCCGCCATCCCCCATCTCCTCCTCTCCCTCCTCCTGCTGCTCCCGGGGTGGGGAGCGCGGCCCCGGCGGCGCCAGCAACTGCAGGACGCCGCAGCTCGACACGGAGGCGGCAGCAGCGGGGCCCCCGACCCGCTCGCTGCTGCTCGGCCCCTACGCCTCGCATCCCTTCGGGCCCCCCCACGGACCTTCGGCGCCCGGGGTCGCGGGCCCTGGCAGCGCCCTGTCGAGTTGGGAGGACCTGCTGCTCTTCACTGACCTCGACCAGGCCGCGACCGCCAGCAAACTGCTGTGGTCCAGCCGCGGCGCCAAGCTGAGCCCCTTCGCCCCCGAGCAGCCGGAGGAGATGTACCAGACCCTCGCCGCGCTCTCCAGCCAGGGGCCGGCCGCCTACGACGGCGCGCCCGGCGGCTTCGTGCACTCGGCGGCCGCCGCGGCAGCAGCCGCGGCCGCGGCCAGCTCCCCGGTCTATGTGCCCACCACCCGCGTGGGCTCCATGCTGCCCGGCCTGCCGTACCTGCAGGGAGCGGGCAGCGGACCCGCCAACCACGCGGGCGCAGCGGGCGCGCACCCGGGCTGGCCGCAGGCCTCGGCCGACAGCCCCCGTATGGCAGCGGAGGCGGCGCGGCGGGCGGCGGGGCCGCGGGCCTGGCAGCGCCGGCTCGGCCGCGGCGCACGTCTCGGCGCGCTTTCCCTACTCGCCCAGCCCGCCGATGGCCAACGGCGCAGCGCGGGAGCCCGGGGGCTACGCCGCGGCCGGGGGCGGAGGCGCGGGCGGCGTGAGCGGAGCCGGGGCGGCAGCCTGGCGGCCATGGGCGGCCGCGAGCACCAGTACAGCTCGCTGTCAGCCGCGCGGCCCCTGAACGGGACGTATCACCACCATCACCACCACCACCCCAGCCCCTACTCACCCTACGTGGGTGCGCCACTGACGCCCGCCTGGCCCGCCGGACCCTTTGAGACCCCGGTGCTGCACAGCTTGCAGAGCCGGGCCGGAGCGCCGCTGCCGGTGCCGCGGGGCCCCAGCGCAGGTAAGGGTGATGCCGCAGCGTTAGGGTGGGACAAGAGGCTTGGGGAGCGGCTGCTTGGGCCTAGTTTTTAGGGCTTTCCTGTCTGGGTGACCAGTGGTCACGCTGACCCCGGGCAGGATTTGCAAACTTGTGGCAGAGTCTGGTGGCTTTGATGTAGTGCTTCTGTTTGTACAGATGAGACCTAGCTCATGTATGTATGCATGTATGTATGTATGTATGTATCACACGTACACACACACCTCAGTGTCTTGGAGAATTTCGAGGGACTTGTTGGATGGTGGATAAGCAGGGCAATCAGAAAATGTAATCAGGAGGAAAAAGGAGGCCTGACCTCGAGTGAGCTGGGGTGGCAGACCCCAGTTTGCTTGAGTGGAAAAGCAGGGGTTAGTTAGTTTAGGGGAATGCTGGGCACTTGATTTACCCGCTACTCAGATACAGAAGCCATTTCACCAACTTAACTCCTCAAAGGTGAAAAATTGTGTGTGTTTTCCTCGAGAGTAGTTAAAAGGGTTTCACAGTGGGAAAAGACCCAAGGACCTAGCTGGATCCTCCCTTGCCTTCAGCCAGAGAGGGAAGGAGCACTGCACTGCTCAGTCTCCTGCCTCTCTGGTGAGAAAGAGGGACAGACCCTTACTGGAGACATTGGCTGGAGAGGGAAGCTGGGCTGTTGGGGGTGGCAGGGTGAGGCTGGCCTGGGGCTTGCTGCCTCCGCCCTCCCCTGCTAGGCTGGCACTCGGGGTTCCCAGGGTCCCACACCTATCCTTCCTCCAGAGTTCAGCCCACCAATTTTTAGGTTTCTGGTTCCATTCCTACTATCATTCTAGTGTCTGAGGCGATTTAGATAGAACTTTGAAAACAGAATTGTCAAAATACCTGGACGTATCTGAGCTTGAAAAGTGTCTTATTCTACTCAACTAAAGGAGGGTGTGAATTGTTGTCTGCCTGGACAAAGGCGCTTTGGCTTCTTTTCTCTGCTGCAGCGTTCTGGCTCCTTGGTGCTTTCATCAGTCTCTTTTAATGTGTTTGGTAACCTGACAGATTCCTGGAAAAAGGTTCCCCCCACCCCCTGTTTTTGAGGAGAAACTGTGGCAAAATTGCAAAGAGGAAGGAGGCACATTGATCTAAGTTCTCCTAGCTGGTGCTCCTGCACCCCGGATCTGGGCTTTTCCTGGGACAGACAACAAGTGTTTTAGGGGACCTTATTGGTTAGGATAAAGTGAAGCATTGCGAACCCTGTATTCAGAAAACCCACTGTCTTAGTAACATTGGGATGTGGCAAGAGGCTTTTGGTGGTGAGCCCTTCCTCTCTTACTCTACTGCTTCTAAGAGTTTGGTCACAAAATCCCATCTTTCTTCCCCTGCCAAGCTGCCCCCAGAGACCTTCTTTACTGTCAGTGTGAAGCATGGGGGTGGTGTCCTGTTGCCACTTGAGAACAGAGCACTGTCACCCTTCCTGTTGCATAGGAACCTGTGTCTGGCTCCCAGGAGCAGAGATGGAGGAATGAGGAATCTTCAAAGATTGGGAGGGGTGGTGGTTAGTGTGTGATGCTTTCACAGTCAGGAATCCTGCAGGGAGTCAGAAAGGTATTCGAGTTGGATAGGATAGGGGCAGCTGCAGTTGGAGCCAGACCTTGCTGCTCTGACTGCTTAACACAACTTAACTTGAGCTCCGTATTCCTTATATGTGAGAAATATGAGACAGAAATGGTCCAAAATACATTATTGGAGCCTTCAGATGTTTAAAATAACTGGTTCTCTATGGAAAACTCTTTAAGAGTAGTAGGGTGTAATTGCAGAGAAGATATAAATTTATTTTTATTTTAATTTATCCTTTCACTAACCTGTTCATTTTCTGAGTGGGTCACTGCAAAGTGAGAAGAATCTGTAGATCCAGACTATGTTAAATCAAAATGGGGATGGTTTGGGAAGAAGTCTTTTATTTGAAGAAGGCATGGGGGAGGTGAGTGACCCTAACTTTGCTTGTCCTCACAGGTGTTCTCATGCTAGAGACCTCCACTCCAGCTCCCCTCCTCCCAGATTTCCTACCTAGTGTCCCCACTTAGCCACTTTGATTTTCTTTTTTAAAAACCTTTTTTGGAGGCACATTTTGTTTGATCAAACTGCAGGGCTAAACCTGAACACTGAGCTTTTTCAACATGCACTGTGGAGGCCTTTGGGAATGCGTTCTGTATACCTCTCCGTGGTTTTGGTGGGAATGGGGGTGAAGGAGGTCCTCACAGCCCTCAGTCCTGGGGTCCAGTCCTCTCCTAAGCTTTTGCTGAACTGTGTTCATTGTCTGGGTCCTGGGGTCCAGTCCTCTCCTAAGCTTTTGCTGAACTGTGTTCATTGTCTGGGTCCTGGGGTCCAGTCCTCTCCTAAGCTTTTGCTGAACTGTGTTCATTGTCTGGGTCCTGGGGTCCAGTCCTCTCCTAAGCTTTTGCTGAACTGTGTTCATTGTCTGGGTCCTGGGATACAGTCACTGGCTATGCCCTTCCCTCCTGAGTCTATTCGTTCCCCCCACTCTGTTAGGAGAAAGATGATGGGCAGGGGAAACTGGTGAATGAGCTTTCAGCACAGATTTTGTATAACTTTTATTAAAAACAGGATTTTTCTTATTTTAGGATCATAGCTTGCTGGGCGAGTGGTAGGAAGAGGTATAGGGAGGGAATGGGGCCATGCATTTTATTTGACTAAAAATAAGCTAATTGTAAATTTCACTTATCCAAAGTGGACTTAGTTTTGTCTTTAGGTTTTCAGATGACTGAAGAGATTTACCTGGAGTGTTCACACTTTCTTTTCCTGGGAGTCTTATTGTTCCGAGCCAAAGGGAAGGAGGCCAGGCGTAGTAGGGCTTGGTTCTCCAGGGAATGCCCCACTACTCTGTGGAGAAGGGGCTCTGATAGGTAACATTTTAAAGTCAACAACAAAGACAAATACCTTGTTTAACTTCAGTGTCCTTGAAGTCCTGAGTATTTTACTGATTACCGTAGTCAATAGTGGCTTTTAGGGCAGAGAAGAATAAATCTTTGTGATGTGTTGTAAGTTGCAGTATCCCCATGACAACTTTGAACTCAGGTTATGTAGGGTGGTAGTTTTCTTTTAAACTTATTTCTTGAGGAGGAAGGAGATTTGTTGTCTAGGGCAAATAGTATTAATGAAATTAGAGTTTTCATGACAAAATCACATTTAAACATCTTTACAACTGTTGATGGTAGATACAAGCTGTTAACTACTAGGGAATGAGATGGGATAGAAAAGGCTCATTAGCACACCGAGTCTTCAAATAAAACTCAAAAAGTGCAATGTTTATTCATTTTAAAAATTGATTCAGAAATAACCCTTAAAGCATTGGGACATTTATGATCCCTAAAATATAAAGACTTAAATTGAAATTTGTGTATTAAAAATGCTAAATAAAGTAATAAGTGCCTATCATTTAAGAGAATATTTTTAATTTAAGGGGAAGTAATGTTATACCATTGACACTTAAGATTTTTTTTATTAGCACCATTAGGTTAGTTGTGAACTCTAAAAACTAATCAAATAGCAAAGTGACAAACATAATTGAGATTGCATAAATGGAAATTGTATTGTAGGAAAATGTGAGACATTTTTATGCAGACAGATTAGCACTGTCTTGTAATTTTCTGAGTCAAAGTATCAACGGTCTGTAGAGTTTTTGCATGATAGAATCAATTAGACTTACTTTGAAATCAGATTATTTTAGTGTTTGGTCCTTGTGGTGTGAAAATAAGCCATTTTATCTTCGTGCTTATTGATGTTAATGTCTTTTATTTCCCTGAGGAAAACTGATTACTTTTCTAATTAATTGACATCAGTGCCCAAGAACAGTATTTCTAGTTTCCCTTGTGAGTTTTATTGGGGCAAAAAGAAGTGTGTCAGATACAGAAAGTACTTTTTAAAATTATTTGAGATAAAAAATAAATACGGCAGCCTAGCCTCCCGGTGTCCCGGGATATTTATGGGTTGGAGCCCGGGTCAATAATCGGTGTTGATATGGTGTGTCTTGCTTGGGTTTGGCAAGTGGCATACTGTAATTATGATGGATTTTAGTTTGTGAAAAGCTTGGGAACAGCCGGAAAGGAGGGGTCAGGGGACCCAAACCGGCCTCCTCACAGCCATCTCAACTCAGGACCTCGAAGACGGAAACTAATGTTTTTCAGCCTCAGTTTCCAACACTGCTCCGACTTTGTGGGTGTTTTTAGGGTGCAGAAGAACTTGAGAAATCTATCGTGGCTAGATCGATAGCGACCACAGGGGCTGCGGGTTTCTGTCTGGCGGCTGAGCAGGAAGGTCCGCCGGGAAGGGCTTGGGCGGGGGCGTCGGGCAGCGCGGCGCAGCCCTGGGACTGGGGTTTGTGCGTCTTCGGGGGACGCTGCGGGGCTGGGCGGGCGGGCTGGCGTGTCCTCCCTCGGTCTCACTCGGCCTCGTGTCCCCGCTCTCCCCGCAGACCTGCTGGAGGACCTGCCCGAAAGTCGCGAGTGCGTGAACTGCGGCTCCATCCAGACGCCGCTGTGGCGGCGAGACGGCACCGGCCACTACCTGTGCAACGCCTGCGGCCTCTACAGCAAGATGAACGGGCTCAGCAGGCCCCTCATCAAGCCTCAGAAGCGCGTGGTGAGTGCGAGCGCCGCCCGCCCCTGGGGCCTGGCTCCCGGCCGCGCTTCTCCTGCGGGACCCGCGGCGCTCCCTCCCGGCCCAGCCCGGCCCACTCCTGGCTCGCCTGGGGGGCACCTTGAGCTGCAGCCGGGGGCCACCTCGGTGCGCCCTGAGCGCTGGGACCGAGCTGCAGCGTTCCTTTCGTGGCCTTTTCAAGCCCCCACCCGCCGGTGCCGGGTGGAAGTTATCCCGAAACTAGTGTCCGGGGAGCGGAGACCGCCTTTCCGCATAATTACCCGTGGGGAATAAAGTCCCTAAATAAAAAGGAGGGAGGGAAAAAGGATGGTGTACAGTGTTACCATTTTTTTTAAAAAGTACGTAATGTATACATATATTTTGATGTGCTTCTAAATGCACGGAAATAATTTTGGAAGAAACACAAGAAATTAGTAATGGTGGTAACTTGGGGGAGAAAGTCGGGTATACCCACCCTGGTGAGCTGAAGGAAGAATATTTGTTAGCTGTATTAGATCTCAAGGGTTCTCATCATTGAAAACCATGCTCATCCATAACATCCAGCTCCCCTAAATAGAGTATGACAAGTTCACTCTGCCTTTGTCCTCCCAGAACCATTCTGGTTCTTTTTATTTTGTCCCTTCTTTCCTCTGGATCCCTTCTATCCCTTCTCCTCCAAGTCAGATAGATTTTAGCCCCAAATTCCTTAGTCTTTTTTGGATTGTCCTTGAGTCTGGTGAAGATTGTTCACTCTAACCTTTTGTTATTTAGATTTCTGATCGTTCAGAGAATTACATGGAACTTGACAAAAAATGTAGTCTGTGTAATTCCCAAATTGAGGATTTTGCCAATTAGAACACTGTGCTTGAAAGTGTGGGATTAATCTCATTGTCATTGTTATGGGTGTTTTAGAAGGAGGGTATTTACTGCAGCAGTGATTAGAGAAAATAAAGCTTCCCCAAGCCCCATTGTAAGGTTAACGTGTTTAGTCAAGCATTTATATTCTAATGCCTGTTAAAATAAAATATTTTATAGTTAGATGCCAGACATCTTAAGTATCTAAGTAATTTATTTAATTGTTATACTGTAATTAGCAGGAACAAATGCTACACATGTTGTTTGTGTTAAATAGATTAGAGTGAAATTGCATCACAATGTAAGTCTGACACCTTAAAGAGAAGCAATTAGTTTTATGGTTGTTTTGTTTTTAATGCGTTTAAAATAAAGTGGCCAGGGTTAATTAATGAGTGTATGTGCCTTAAACTTGTCACACCTCCTACAGCTTAAAATTTTAAAGAGCATCTTTAAACTTCAGTGCCTGACTTCCTATGGATTTCATTTTTCTCACCATGCATCTTCTTGACAAAGAAAAAGTAGAGATAAAAAAATGTTCCCAGGAGGTTCCTTGTTTTTATGTATTGGCCAATGTCTGCGGCATAAAACTGTTTTCTTCTTTTTTTTTTTTAATATTACGTTGAACTGAGAATTAGCTGAGCTCGGACAGGTAACATTTTCTCGGAGATTGAGTGAAAAACTACAGGTTCCAGTTGCATTATAAATTCGATCTAGTAACATCTGTAGTTAGATGTGCCATTTGTTTTGTGCATTTACCAGTACAAATAACCAGAAGAAAAGGCTTTAACATCTTTGAATCAATTAGTTTTCCTCCTGTATGGCAGGTGTCTTGGCAGTAACCAAGGTCAGTCAATGTGCTTTGTAAATGGGTTATAAATGATACCAATTGAAGGGTGTGTCTATCAATTAGTTCTCCTTGTAGGCTTCTTATTTATGGTTTTGATGGATCTAGCTTAGTTCTCAGAAGGAGAATGTTGAACCCATGTTTGTTTAGCCAGCAGTATAGAACCAATCACTGTGAATTTGAACTTGTAATACATTGCAAAATAAGAGATTTATGGTGTAACTTGAATTCCTTGTCAGTGATGAATATAACTGAGTTCACTTGTTACAAGGAACTTTTATAACCATTCACCTTCATTTCACATGTTTATGAGCACTGGCTTCACTTATGATCTGCAGTTGACAGTCATAAAGTTCTTTGTTATAATGGCAAATTCTGATAACATGTTTGCTTCACATTGGCTCCAAATTCCACTGGAAACTGTCATAAATTACTTATTTGTAAAATGAACCTTCCTAGGTTACTGATTTTACATTTATGAAGAGAAAGAGGTGTGCTCTTATATTTTCTTTAACCATAAAAAAGGGGGAAAGATGCCCTGGTGTGTTAAGATTTTATATTTCCATTATTTTAGCAAAACAATTTCCCAAATAGTCTGTCAGCCAGGTGTATTCATTTCAGTCAGAAGTCTACTTGATTCTTAGCAGTAACTTAGAAATGTTATAATGCTGGGATATATAACAGTGCCTCTGTATTTATAACTTGTTTGTAAAAGAGTAATCTTAGAGTACAATATAGCAAGCAAAATACTGCAAGATATTAATTATAAATGCAGCATTCAACTTTATCTTTTTAAATCTGCAACTATTTAATACATGTTCAATTTATATTTTTGTTGTTGGTTCTTTACATCTTATTGAATTTATTGGCATAGCTAACTTTTCCAACTCTGTAACCTTTAACTTGCTTCAGTCTGTAGATTACCCCTCTAGCTCTCCTTTTACTGAAGTCGTAGCACATTTACTTGCCTATCTTGGTAATTTTAGAACCTTAGATTTTGCCATTCTGGAGGGGAATTTATATTAGCTTAAATCCTCTCTCTTTGTAAAAATAATTTACATGTTATGGGCATAAAGGAAACATGGAAATTAGAGTAACAGTGGGAGGCAGTTGGCCTTTTCGTATAACCCTTGTATGAACAAAAGTTTTGTGTTATACTGACCAGTAAATGAAATAGATTATCACTGTGTGTAAGATGATGCCAGCATTAAGACAACGCTGAACATGGCCGATCCTTTGTAACATGGACAGTACTAAAATTCAGGCAGCACGTGATAGTGGTACTTAGGGAAGGTATTAAAATATATATTTTTATTTTTAACAAAATTTGGTGCCTTTTCCAAGATTCATTTCTAATAATATGTATAGGTCCTTCTAAGATTTCTGGTGTATTCCTCTATACATATCTCAGATTATTACTGATTATCTCCAGTTTCAAGTGAAATGGAGACTGCTCAAAGACACTTAACTAAGTACATTGGCAGGCCATTTGTGATTGCATTTCATGACTCTTGTATCTCGGACTTCTGACAACAGTGAGTGGAGTTATTGGCTAATCTATAATCTATAGACTGGAGCAAACAAACATGTAGGGGATTGAGCACAGTGTGCAAAATGAGGTTACTTGGTCCAGAAGGTCAACCTAATTACACTTCAAATTTTTTCTTTATGGGTGCTTTTATTTATAGTAACCAGGTACATACTTGGTGATGACAGAGACATAACGTTGATGTATGTAGCATATATGTAAGTAATTTGTATCTGTACACTTGCTTGCTTTCCAGCCTTCCTCCCGGCGGCTTGGATTGTCCTGTGCCAACTGTCACACCACAACCACCACTTTGTGGCGCAGAAATGCCGAGGGTGAACCAGTGTGCAATGCTTGTGGACTCTACATGAAACTCCATGGGGTGCGCCACATACTCCACTCATTTGTGTCTCGTTTGTACATTGTTTCTGTTTTAAAAAGTCAACACAGGAGAGGGGATAGAAATTAAAAATCTAATTTTCTTTATGCATGTTACTTAACCTAGGATGCTATTAATTATAATATAAATTGTTATCATATATCCCACTAAGAAATGAACAGTGCTGACAGTTTAATAAACTGTGATACACATCCATTGCAAGACATCCAAGTTTTAAAAATATTAATATGTAGAAAAATGTGCTCTTTGGTTTTGATAACTTGGTAATAACCCCCTTTTAAAAAACACAAAAATTCCATGCAACTAAGTAGGAATACACAAATAATTTGTCTTAAAAAATTTGAGTTCAATCAAATACATTAATACGTGTCTAGAAAGGAGTAATTATACCTGATAGCTATAGAGAGCCTATATTTCATTTTAAGAACATCACAAAACACCTTAATGACCTCAGTTTTATAAAGGAAGATAACCCTGGATATGTAGAAGGAAGAGAATATACGATCCCTTTAAAATAAAAAAGTTTATACTCATTGGTTTTACTCTATAATTAAAGTTGATTAAAGCAACACATTATGTTGAAGGAATGAATTCCCTGGCAAATCACTACACTTTAGGGAAGGAGTCTATGCATTTGCTCAGGAAAGTATAGTCTTTTTGTACTTGAAATTTATTGAATGTCTATAAAAATTGGATTGAAATGTATGCAAATTATTTGAAAACAGGGCTTTTGGTATTGATGATTGGATCTTAAAGTTTGTTTTTTCTTTAATAAAATATTTATTATACTTATAGCCTATGTAAAACATTTTTTTAGGTCCCTCGACCTCTTGCAATGAAAAAGGAGGGAATCCAAACCAGGAAACGAAAACCTAAGAACATAAATAAGTCAAAGGCTTGCTCTGGTAAGTGGTAAAATCTTTTTGATTGTAAAGTTTTGACAACCTTGACTGTAGAGTACATTTATATTTATAAGGTTAATTTTGAATGTTGCAGGTAATAGCAATAATTCTGTTCCTATGACTCCAACTTCCACCTCTTCTAATTCAGATGATTGCAGCAAAAATACTTCCCCTACAACACAACCTACAGCCTCAGGGGTAAGTGTTAAAGCAGTAGATTCTATGCTAGAGAGTTGCTCTCTACTATATTATCTCAAATTTTATCTTATCTGGTAGTGCAATAATCTAAACCAACAGTTCAGTTTAGTGAGCTGATCTCTAAGAATAGTTTTTAGGGGAAATTACATTTAAATGTAAACAAAATGACAAACCTAAGTACTTTATAAACCTCTTAATTAAGATATCATTTTTATGGTTAAATTAATCCACCTGAAAGCAAGAAGTTTTGTGGTTTGAAGTGGCTATGAAATATATATTTGTATTTCTAATGTAAATCAAAAAGGCTTCCAGCTCAGTGGTCTAAGGTATCTGGGTGCCCATGACATTTAAATTACTTTAGCTTATCATACCAACTTCAGCTGCTTTTTTCTTTGTCTTCTTTTCTTCTTTATCTTTTTCCCAAAGCAAAGCTCATCCTAAGTGTCCTGTGTTTCTGTATTCTCTGACCTTCCTTCACCCAGCTGTCCTGTAGCGAGGAGGCCTCACTTCTCTAAGTGCATGTTAATTGTACCCAGGCTTGCTTCAGCCCTGTGATAAACCTCTATGCAATTTGGTTTGGGAGCATTTCGTGCCCCTGGACTTGGGATGCCAGGGTATTGGGGAAGATCACAGAATTAGTTTGTAAAGCCATGACTGGAAATCAGTTTTCCTTAAGAGCATTTTTCTTAACCTTAGTGCTTCCTTAGTTTACCTGGAATGCTCTTTTAAAATGACCAGGCCTCACCCTCCAAGTGAGATTGGGGATGCGGGGCGGGGCCGAGGCATGGCTGATGCTAAGACAGGTTTAGGAGGAAGCATCAGGGTTAAAATCCCTTTTTAGTTAGTAACAGTTTTCTACATTTGGTTTTGCCCTATTTGGGGTACTTTAAAATACTACAGATTCCTGGGCCCCACCCTGGATTTTCTGAGTCAGTTCCTGGGGGTGGGGCTCAGAAATGTGTGTTTTTGAACCAGCGCTGCAGGTGAAAAAGAAATTACTGCCCTCAAGGTGTCTTCCTTGAATTGGGAACCAGAGTTGGTTTCTGGTGCATTTTTACTGACTTAAACAAATAAAAATGTAGCATTAAAAATAAATGGTGTTTAATTGTATTTGCTATTTCTTTTTGTCCTCCAACCCAAATTCAATTGGGCTTTTATTTAATGAAGCAAGAAGTTCAGAGTTTCACAGGGGTAAAGTTTTTCAGTTTTTGTTTGTTGCAAACACTTGTTAAAGAATGTTTCTTTTTAAAGGTGTATACTTTTTATGGTAGGGTTAGATGAAGCTTTAAGACTCTAAAGTGGTAAATAGAAAGTTCTTTGTGGGGAATTGAAAGATCAAAATTATTTTCAGATTTTTTTTATTATGCCCTAAATTCTCAGAAGCAATTTGACGCTTACATAGGAAAACAATGTTCTGGTCTTGTAAAACACTGGGAGCTGTCAGGTTTTTTGCTCCATGTCTGGTGTCTGTCTCTCTGAGCTAAAATGACAATTGCTGCCAAAAACTTGCTTTTGTTGCTAATACATTTTGGTTGAGGTGTGGCAAAATCCAAGTTTGAATGACAAATGACATCAAATAGAGATTTTTGCCCAAGAATGGGTTTTGGGAACTAGGAAGCATAGTGGGTGAGGTCTGTTTTGCTCTTCTGGTTTTGTGATGTAAAATTTCAGAGTTGGCTATTTACAAGCCTAATCAGTTACCCTGCAGGGAAGGAACAATAAAATGGCTGTAACGTGGTCCTGCCTTTGCTTGATTGGGCGAGAGACCTCTCCTGCAGCGGGTTCCTTGACTGTTTTGGTGTCCAAGTGTCCCTGTATCTCTTACCTTAGACCTAGCAAGCCTGAGGCAGTTAAGCAGCCAGTGCACTTCAGAGGGAATCTTAGTCCTCAGCCAGGAGGCAAAGCAACAAGGATTTCAGAACCTGGGGGAGTTTGAGTATAGTTCCAGACAAGGACTTTTGCTTTGAGCTCCCTTCCATCCCATATTCCAGCAGCCTCCACGCAAACCAGCTAAGTGAGCTGCAGACTAAGGGCAGCTGTCATAGTCCAGGCATCCAGCCACAGAAATGTTTCCTGACAACTTTCCCCAGGGCAGGGGTGGGGCTTGCCCTCCCTCCTTCTAACTCCCTCCAGGGACCCACTCCTGACCTTGGCTGGAGGCTGAGTTTGTGCTTGCCCATTTCCCTCCTACGGTGAGCCTATCACGAATGTCTCCACCAGTTGGTTGCCTTTGGATTCTGTCCCTTTCAAGAATAGTGTAGCCCCACTCTGTCTGGTGAATCCTCTCACCAACTCCCCACACCTCTTGCCTGTACCCCAGTTCTTGTATGCATGCATAAATCAATCTAAAAAAAAAAAGAACAGTGTAGCATAATCCCCTTCAGCTCCATCCATGTTGCAGCAGATGGAGCAACACTTTTCAGGCTTCCCTGGATAGACTGAGCTTTGTATGTGTGGCCAGCATGACAGCTGAGGTGTGTGAAGACCACGGTGAGGGAGTTATCTGTGAGCAGCTGGCAGAAGCATTTATGAAAGGTCACTGGATTGACCAAGATGTGTCTTTTTCCCGTTTTGGTCATGGTGTGTGATGTTGGAGAGCAACTGTTGTCGGGACTACTGCTTTATAGGCTTTCGTGAAGTGCTGCAGGTGAAGAAAATGTTAAATCCACATAGAAGGGTCATAGCTGGTGTTTAGACAGTGAATGTGTTCCACCCCACCGTGGTTGGCTCAATGTTCCAGCTTCCTATTGTGATGATGGGTCCATCCCATTGATCTCCAGTGGCCCCTACAACTGATATGGTGAAAATTAGTATTAGAGGGTTGTCCTAGCTTAATCATGGCAACCAAGTTAAAAAAACAAAGGGCAATTTAAGACAGGAACTGGGGGGCCACTTTCTTCCATTCAGAGATGGCTGTGATTGTCTGCTTGTCTGCCTTTCCTTAACGAGTGTGAGTTACAGCAAGGAAGTAGAAAGCTGTTACAGAGGTCCCTATCAAACTTGACATCATATTAATGCCCCCCACCCCAAATCAACTGTAGAAGATGACCCTCAGGCAGACTTCTTTCAAACCCTGATGTTCCTGCCCTGCCCTTCATGTGTGCATGTTGTTGTGAGGGCTCCTGGTCTCCAGCGTGGCCTGACTGGAGCTGAGTGTTCTGTAGGGAGGCTTCATACTGGTCTGGCACTGTAATCAGGGCTCCAGGCCAGGTTCCCCCTGTCCTGGCCTCAGCAGGATCAGATCTGTGGGTAGGATTCCTAGCACAGGCTTTGCCTTTCAACGTTTTTGCAGAACAAGCATCATAAGTGCCATGAAAGTCATTTCTGTGATGACCATAGTCTGATTTCTTTGGTGTTTTTTCATGTCTTAACTTTATGTACTTGTTGCTAATTTGTGTTTTCCCTAGATCTCTCAGTAAAAAGGAAACATACCATTTGATGGCTCACTTATGTCTCGATTTCTTTTCATTGTGCTTGTGCGGTGTGCACCAATAAGAGGTAGAGGGAGGGCAATTTGTTTCCTGTATGAAATCAGGAAAATCTGCTACCATGTAGCCCAGTATTAAAAAGTCTATCTCAATCCTTTGGAATTCTTGGTACTTATTAAGAAATGTGTGAAATTTCTGATAAACTGTTGATTAATTTTTGTGACTTTTTTACTGGATGATAAACTTAACCAAAATAGTCTTTCATTTTGACTAAAATTTTCTTATAAATGCAGATTTACTGAAAAATGTGTATTTAATCAAAATAGACGTTAGATTTTCTCTGGTATTCACATCCTCTGGATTTTAAGATTAATTAAATCTTTATTGAATTTCATTTATTGACTGAATTGTTTTATAGATTTGTTACTATTACTGAGGAGGAAAATGTGGTAACATGTTCTGTTTTAGCAATAGATTTGATAGTCTATAAATATTCTCATTTCTCTTACACTTGTATCTAAAAATTGTGAAATTGGATACTCTATCATATAATACATACGTATGTATTACATATTATATATAAACATATGCTAAACTTTAAAAAAAAGATTTATTTATGCATACAAAAACTGGGAAATACACTGCTGAGGGGAGCAGTGGGCAGACAGGAAAGGTCTGCTGCGCCATGTGGTTTAGCTCCCTGGCCAGCCTGGGATGGAACTCGTGCTGCAGTGGCGGTGAGAGCCTCATAGTCCTGTGTTTAACGCCTACACCTCCAGGGAGACCCCTATATATACTAACTTTTAAGCTCGGTTACCAAATTTGTAGATTAAAAACTACTTCCTTTGTGATGGGGGGGATTAATTTGGGGATGAAATTATTAAGCAAATTATTATTGCTTATTAGGTGATAAGATAATGTATCTGAGTAGTCCTTGTTTTTTTTTACTGGTTGTTGTTACAGTAAGCATTCTTTATGGGATCCCTATACCATTTTGTAAATCAAGGCCTCTGACCTCATTGTTCATAACTTGGTGTTAGGTGTGTGTGGGGGGGCAAATGTAGACAGACCTTACTGCTCGTTAGATTGGGGGGTGTTTTGAATGAGTGACAAAGTATAGTTGGAGTTGAAAGGAGGGAGCAGTGAATTCTGACCGTAACATTGGAAATGAGAGGGATGTTTGAATTAGTTGTGTAGGATTTTTGCAAGGGAAATGTTGGAATAGAGATAGCTAGGAAGAACAGCACAGGTGTCTCTTATAGTTAAGGAATTATTGTTTTAGGAGTTGGGTGTGGCTGGAGTAAAGGGTATAGAAGCCAAAGGCAGAATAAGAGTCTAGTCAAATAGGTGAAATTAGATATTTCAAATCACTATCAAGTCAGTCTTATTAAGAAGGGTCCAAATTTCATTAATTTCTAAATGATGTGCTTTAGTTAATGCCACTAACCCCACTGTAGTGGCAAGTGTATTTCTGTGTGTATACTGGAGTCAACCAAAACATTCTTAATTGAAAATATTTTGATAGTTGATATAAACAAATGCTCCTACTTTTTACAAGCTGGGTTTCCCCTC